ATATTAAGTAGAATAGACAAAAAAAACTACTAAGAGGGATAATGTATTAAGTTGTTCATTAACAGTCAGGGCTATGCTGATCAAGTCACCATTTCTCATAGTGTCCATTTCACTTCAACAGGTTTCCTTTTTGGTGTTCAGTCAGTTGTCACTGATCAGGGAGAACATATGGTATTTGTCCCTTTGGGACTGGCTTATTTCACTCAGCATGATGTGTTCCAGATTCCTCCATTTTGTTGCAAATGACTGGATTTCGTTGTTTCTTACTGCAGTATAGTATTCTAAAGAGTACATATCCCATAATTTCTTTATCCAGTCTACCGTTGATGGGCATTTAGGTTGGTTCCAGGTCTTGGCTATTGTGAATTGTGCTGCAGTAAACATTGGGGTGCAGACCTCTTTTTTGTTTGCCAATTTAAATTCCTTTGGGTAAATTCCAAGGAGTGGGATGGCTGGGTTGAACGGTAGGGTTATATTCAGGTTTCTGAGGAATCTCCAGACTGACTTCCATAGTGGCTTGACCAGTTTGCATTCCCACCAACAGTGGGTTAGTGTCCCTTTTTCCCCACATCCTCTCCAGCATCTATTGTTGGTAGATTTCTGTATGTGAGCCATTCTAACCGGGGTGAGGTGAAACCTCATTGTGTTTTTTTTTGACAGGCAGAGTGGACAGTGAGAGAGAGAGACAGAGAGAAAGGTCTTCCTTTTGCCGTTGGTTCACCCTCCAATGGCTGTCGCGGTTGGCGTGCTGCGGCCGGCGCACCGCGCTGATCCGATGGCAGGAGCCAGGAGCCAGGTGCTTCTCCTGGTCTCCCATGGGGTGCAGGGCCCAAGCACTTGGGCCATCCTCCACTGCACTCCCTGGCTACAGCAGAGAGCTGGCCTGGAAGAGGGGCAACCGGGACAGAATCTGGTGCCCCGACCAGTACTAGAACCTGGTGTGCCGGCGCCGCAAGGCAGAGGATTAGCCTAGTGAGCCGCGGCGCCGGCCCTAATGCAGAATTCTTAATGCTTCAAAACCTCAAACTGTTTGCAGCCTGACCTGGTACCACATGGGAAATTCCACACAGTGAGCAGTCACGCTGGGACACGTCGCAGAGCTCTGAGCTGTTGCACACGCCGTCCCCTTTGTCAGTGTGTGCAGAGTTCCCAGGTCAGGTGTGGTGGGAGCCTGCCCCATCAGTGAGTGGCACTTGGGGATAAGAATGAGGATGTCGCCCATTGTTGGTTGTTGACAAAGTGACTGTGGGCTCTGGAGTGTTGAGAACCATTGCTGGGCTATAGCTGGGGAACCTCAGCTTGCGTCCCCTGGGCCAGTGCCACTGCTGACAGTCCAGGGCCCCCACTATGCGAACTTCTGCTCCGTCACCGTTATTCTCAGCTCCCTTTCCAGAATCCCAGCTTCTCTCCTGGACTGGTGGGGTTGCCCAGGAAGCTGCCCTGGGGAAGACCCTCAAAGGGCTTGCCACCCTCTGAGAAACTCTGGGTCCTGAGCAGAGGGAACCCGTGGGAGTGGTCCTCAAACTAAGGGCAGAGACAGACAGGTGCCGAGCATGCTGGGAGTCCCACCGAGGGCTGCACTGGCCTCATGGGACAAGCCCACAGGAGGTCTCAGCAAAGCCTGGCAGGGGGCTTTCCCCACCGGCAGTCTGGGCTCCCGAGCCCTTCTGTGCCTGGGTGGGATTGGGAAACCTTGGCAGTCCTGGCTCCACTTCACAGCCAGGAATGTTGGGAAATTTCAGCAGTCAGGAGCAACCCCGCCAATCATCCTGGGGGTGGGACAGGACAGCAAGGCCTCTAGGTAAAGGAATTCCAGAGACATTACCTCCTTGTCGATGGTTTTGTAGCCACACATGGTGTTGACGACATCTGTCTGAAACAGAAATGTGTATCACAAACACTTAACGTGGTGCTTACCCAAAAAGACACTGCTGATCTACCCATTTGGCAGAAGAAAGAACTGAGGCACAGACAGCTGCCCTGTCCAGCATGGATGGAGCTGAGATTCCAAGCTAGGCAGACTGGCTTGAGCCCGAATTTAACCACACGGTGCTTTAAGAAATGCAAGTCGCAGGACCGCCCCAAGAGCAGCCCAGAAATGCAGGGAAAAGGGTCCTGGCCCAGCCCCTGCTCTGCTGGCTTGGTCTACACTGTCTCAGAGGTCAGACTGGGGCTGTTCCTGCTCACTGGCCCTTAGGGAGGAAAACCTCCGACCACAGCTGGGATCCTGCCAACATGGTTACCTGTGGACAAGGCCACGGCTCCTGGCTGCGCTTCCTGCCCCCACAGACCTCAGCTCTACCAATGTGGGGCGCTGCAGGAAGTTCCTTCCAGAGAGGAGAGTTGGTCTCTGAGACTCCTGGCCTCTTATTAATTCAGGTACAGAGGAAACTGCCCAGGCCCTGGACCCCATCAGATCCTGTGCCCTGTGGTCTCCTTGTTCATCTGCCAGGTAAGACGGCCAGACCCTGTGTCCAGCCTGGGCTTCCTGCAGCCCTGCCCACCCCCATAATGGAGTGAATGTGGATGCTTAGGGGACCCCAGGGGTCAGGGACGACACAGAAGGCAACAGTGGAATGGCCGCCCAGCATGGCCTCTGGCGTCACCCCTCCTGGGTCCAGTTCCTGCTCTACCATTTAGGAGTTCTGCACTGGCCTTGCTTGGTGGGATGGGCACACAGAGGCCCTCAGTAAACAAGTCTTCGATGCATGTGCACACAGATGTGTGCATGACTGGGGGAGGGAGGGAATGCATTGTGTGCACCGACACACGCATGGCTGAGGGAGTGACCAGGTCCCCTGGGCTTTTCCACAAAGCAATGACAATCCATGACCCCCACCACACACACACACACACACACACACACACACACACACACAGGCTGATGTCAACACAGTGAGACACATGAGCAAAGTCACAGTTAGGGGTGCGTGTGCAGGGGCCCAGCAGCCGACTGCGATGCTGCTTGGTGAACAAGGCCCTCATAGGAGGTGCTCTCAGACTAACACCTGTGGAAGGGGCAGAGCCAGAGGCAGGGGCGGGCAGAGGGAGCCGAAGAGCAGTGATGGGGGCTCAGTGAGGTTCTGCTGTGGAATCCATGAAGATGACTGGGCAGGGGAGCCAGGCGTTGGCACCAGCACGGTGACCACCCCGGAGCTGGCACAGTGACACAAGTCTTGTCATGAGGTAGGTCATAGTTATGTCCCTTGTCTCCCTTTCTAGAACACAGATTCCATGAGGACAGGGACTTGGATTTGTTCTTCTGCAGCACAAACACCTGGAACTGCAGTAGGCACACAACAGGTGCTCAATGAACGAATGTGCAATCCTGTGCCCTCACTCCCAGCACACCCTCATGCACCTGTCCCGCAGGTCTGACCCCCTCTAGGGGTCACAGTCATGGCCATGGCAGGGCCACAGTGATGACCGATGCTAAGGGGGCGCTTGGGGAGAGCTGTAGACTCGGGGTGGGGGATTCTGCTGCATACCCAGCTCTGACATTTGGAATGAGCTAGACGACGTCCAGGGCCCAGCTCTCCCTCGTGGTGGGAGGGCGGAAGCCCTTCTTTGCTTTCCAGAGGCTGGGATTGTGAACAAAGTCTCTCCAGTCAGTGATCCTGCACTCTGCCCTGGGCCAGGCCCTATAGACTCGCCTGAGCCCCAGCGGAGCTGTGCTGAGCAGGCACCACTCCACCTCCCCCGGCCTCCAGCCCCGCCCTTTCAGAGGTAGATTGAGAACACCTCCTACCAGGGCCCCTGCTCACTAAGGAGCACCACAGTCAGCTGACCTGTGACTGCTGGGTCCCTGCACACTTACTAGCCCTAACCCGATTCCCGTGTCCACCTGTGCCCTGCCATGGCAGCCACGGTGACCCCAAGTCAGACCCACCTGCATGGCCCCGTCACTCAAGGGCACACTGCAGTTCTTCCTGTGACCTGACTCCACCTCCTGCCCTTCCTTCCCCAAGGTCACTCAGCCCCAGCCACGCTGGCCACCCCAGGGCCTCTGCACTCGCTGTTCTGTCTGCCAAGGACCCTCTTCTCCCAGATACCTGCCCGGCTCGCACCCTCGCTTCCTTCAGGGTTTAACTCTGAATCCACCTTCAAAAAACCGCCATCCTCCACACTGCTGCTTTGCACACTGTTTCCTCCTGAGTTCTCTTGTCAGTTTCCCTCATGGTAATGTTACCTTCCGGTGGGCAGAGACTTCTTAGAGTTTTTTTTACCTCTGGAACCTAGAACTGTGTCTGGCGCACAGTAGGTTCTCAACCAGTATTTGCCGAATGAACAAATGGGTGAATGGATGCAGGTTGGGCTTCCACATCTGAACACGGACAAGTTCAGGTTCCCCCTCCCCACCCCAGCCCCGGGGCCAGGCTTCTGAAAACCCTGGGCTCCTCTCCAGCACCCCTGTTGCCAGAGATCTACCCTAAAATGGCAGCTACAGTGCGTGGGGCAGCTCCCTCGGGCCAGCCTTTTTAGGGTGCGGGCAGCCCGGCACACGGGCGAGGCTCCCACCGCGGCTGCACTGCAGTGGGCACGGAACGGCGGAGATGTCAGAAGAGAAACTTTCCATGGCTGCTTGCAGCATGAGTAACGGCCAAGCTCTCTGCCGAGTTCCAGTCCAGAAACCAAACAGCTCCCGGCCGCGGTAGGCAGATGCGGGCACTGACGGAGTGCTGACTGCCCGGCACAGGACACCGCGTGACGGAGGAGGTGGCCGAGCTGACGGTGTCGTGCTGGCACATCACGGACCCCGCTCCAGGTGCCCTGAAGCCCACGGGAGACGCCCCGTGTGCAAGCCTGGCTCTGCCTGCGGTGAAGCCACAGAGCCCCCTGCCTGGAAGTCCCCTCCCTCTGGCCCCTCCTGTCTGTGCGGCACTGCAAGGCGGGGCACCCTCGCCTGGCCCAGTCAACCTGGGCAAGACCGCGAACTTTTCCATGCCTCAGTTTCTTCTTCTGTAAAGTGGATACGTCACAGTGGCTGCCTGGCAGGGCTGTTGCAAGGAGAGGGTGAGTTGGCACAGCCAGAACAACAGATGCTGACAGCACCGACGCAGACCACCCCCTCCCTCCAGCGTTTCCCCTCGCAGGACTCTCGAGGCTCTGACCACACCCTCCTGCCCACCCCGTCGCACCCCCACATCCTCAGAAAGCCCTGCCAGGTGGGCTGCACCTGCCCGCACCCCAGGGACAGCGCTACCGTGTTTCTGAAGCAGCAGGTGTAGGGCACCCCGCAGGCCAGGGGCCCGGGGGCATTGCAGTCGTGGTACTGGTTCTGGCTCCAATCTCGGTAGTCCTCGCCGCCACAGCACTTGAACTGAGAAAGGAAGCAGGCAGGAAGGCGGCGCTGCAGTCATCCCCAAGCCTTGGTCACGGGTGTGCGTGTATCGGGGGGACACGGGGTGGGGAGGATCTCGCCAGGAGACGGTGCCCTTTAGGGTGGGAGAGGCCCTGGCAGGGGAGCCACAGCGAACACGAGCGGCACACCTGCCAGGTGACAGCTGAGACCAGCAGGCTGCCAGGAGGTGGTGAGCACCCTGTCCCTGGAGAGTCGTGCAAGCCCCGGCTGGGCTGCCTCCGTGCAGACGTCAGGGTGGCGAGGGCACCTCTCCCAGACACCCGCACCTGCCTTCACGCTGTGTCTGCAGTACCAGGCCTTTCTGTCCACGAGGCCAGAGTCTCTGCAAGTCCCTTCTGCATGCTGACCTTCTCCTAACCCGGCTCCCCGAGCCGTGCCGCCCCAGCTGTGCTGGACCCGCCCTTGGCAAAGAGGACGTAGGCACATCCACGTTCTGCCCTGTGCCTCCCGAGCTCAGCCATTCCTGGCTCTCCTCCCCTGCACCACGGCCAACACCTGGGGAAGTGGTTAGCAGTTCCACCGCAGTGCTGCCGTGTGCTGGGCTCTCGCCTGAGTATCGCAGAGACCAGGGAGGACATGAGCTGCCCACGTGGAGAGGACAGAGAGTGAGCACCGCGTGTGACATGGGAGGGAGGGGAGCCATGCACCCAACATGGAGAAACAGGGAAAACGAGTGGACAAGGGCACTCTCAGGCTGGGGGGTGAGGATGGCTTTCTGAGGAGAGGACATTTCATTGGAAAGATGAGCAACAGGAAAAGGCCAGCCGACACGCGCAAAGGCCCGCGCAGGACTGTGCCTGTATTTCATTAGCAGGTGCAGAGGTCGGTTTGTCCAGAACAGAACAAGAGAGAGTGGAGGGGATGCTGTTGAGAGGGCAGCAGAGGGCAGCGCGGGCTGGACCCTGCAAAGCCTCGTCAGCCAGAATACACAGGCAGCCAGGATTATATTACAGGGGCGACAGGAAGCCACTGGACAGCTCAATCAGGGAAGTGCCGTGGTCAGAGGGGCTGGTAGAAACAGACCCTCCCGGAATCCCCTTGGTGCCCCCTTAGCTCTTCAGGCTTCAGGACCAGAAGTGCCTGATTGCAGTGCTGTTCAAAGGGCCCAAGTTCAAATCCTCCCAGCACCATTCCCAGCTGTGTGATTTCAGGCAAGCTGATCAACTTCTCTGGCCTCAGATCCTCATTGGTAAAGCAAGAAGAGCACTGGCAGCTTGGCACAGCTGAGCTGTGGGTACAGCAAGAGGCTCTGCATGAAGTACTCGGCACAGGCCCGGCACCACGCAGGTGTCCAGGGAGCACCAGTTACCTCCTACCCCACCCTGGGAAAAAGGAAATCTCCAAGCCAGCCGCAGGCCAGTTCCAATAAAAACAACCCACTCTCCTGGAGCTGTCTTGGCTCTCCCAGCCAGAGCTGGCAGGCTAGGGCCTCCCAGAGGCTGCACCTGTCCTGACTACAGAGGTCTGAGCCAAGGGAGTGGCCATTACAGTGCCCTGGGTGTGGCTTGGACGAGAGTCCAGGCCAGCTGGAGCCCCCAAGGTCAGGTTCCAGGCAGCACTGCCAGTGCTTGGTGATCCTGTGGACCCTCAGATGCTGCTCCCCTCACTTCCTGGGACACTGACCACGTGGCTGGCACTGACAGGAATATAATGAGGCTGCCCCTGTCTCAGCACTTCCCCTAAGTCGAGGTAGCCCTACGACTGTGTTACCCCCTTACACAGATGGAGAAACTGAGGTTCAGGGCTCAACGACAGGGATGTAGCACAGCAATTGAGGACAGTGGCCAGCCCTCCACCTGCTATTATTATTGTGCCACTATGATTATGGCAGTGTCGGGTGGCCTGCGGGGAGAGGGGCAATATCCCCAGAGGACACATGATCATGCCATTGAAGGAAGGGGAGGGGGTCTCAGTCTGGGCCTCAGTGTGGAGGAAATGCAATCCAGACAGAGCTCTCTCCCCATCCCAGCAGGGAGTTGGCAGAGGAGGTTGGGCCCAGGGAGGTCATTTTCTCATCTCCAGGAAGCAGGCTCCTCGTCCAGCGGAAGGGGCTACCTGGGACACTACAAGGCGGCCTGAAGCTCCGGCTCACCTTGTTGCATTTGCAGAGGGGGCTGTTCAGGGCCAGGCACCTGGGCAGAGAGCCCCAGCTGCCCCATCCTTGGTGGGCCATCTACAGCCCACCCTTGCTTCTCAGCCTGGCCAGCCACCTGCTCTGGGAATGCAGAAGTCACCCACCTGAGCCATCAGCCCACCCTTGTGAGCAGGGACCAATCAGGGCAGAGGACATGGGAGGCAGAGCTCTGACCCAGGGCCCCTCGGCTCACCTGCTTCTGAACAAAGTCCATGATGTTTTTGAAGTCCAGGTCATCATAGTAATTCTCAATTCCTCTTCTGATGTTGTCGTTGAGAAACTCAATGGTCTATTGAGAGAGAGAGAGTGACAAAGGGAAGCGCCACCACCCCCAGCGTCCCAGCCAGACTTCCTGGAAGCCCAGGCTGGCACAGAGTGCCCTGGGCCGGAGCTGCCCTGCCTGCTGCCTCCAGTCCCCAGCTGTTCCCTGTGACCAGCCCACCCACGCCCCTCCATGCACCCGATGCCATTTGGCACCCACATCTCTGCTATGGCCGAGTAGCCACCATTCATGCTGCTTCCTTCACAGATCAGCAACCCAGACCCTGAGAGGCCAGGGTCCTGGTGGGGGCTCAGCTCCTAGCTCTGAAGCAGCTGCAGCTGAGTCAGGGCGAGGCTGTCCTGGTTCCACTGCCCAGGGCAGACTGGAGCTGAGACTGCCTTCGCCCCACACTCCTCCACCAGCCAACCTCTTGCTTTACAGATGAGGAAACTGAGACTTGGGGGGTGGGGGGCAGTGGCAGGACTTGCCCTGAGTGGCTGAGCAGACCTCGCTGGTCAGGGGCCCCGCCAGGACTGGCTTTCAGGCCTCCTGACCTCTGCCCCTCACTGCAGTGCTGTGGACGCACAGACAGCGGGGCAGGGACAGCCCCCTCCGGGAGGCACACTGGCAGGCCGCCCTCTGCCAGTCACGCCGGGCTTTTTGGATCAACAGCCGGCTGTTGTGCCGAAATCCGGGAGCACAAAAGGCCCCACAGCGGGACAAGCTGGGGGTGGGAGTGAGGGCAGCCCAGCTCCACGCTCGCTGTGACAATTGCAGCTTTCAGAGCCCCGCGCAGGCTATCAGCAGAGGCTGGGGACAAAGCTGCATTCTCTGCAGACAGGAGCCAGACAGCTCCCGGGGGAGGTGTCTGGGGTGGGGGGCCTGGGCTCCTGGCCCCCTCCCAGCTCATGCCCCCTTCCAGGACCTCAGTTTCTCCCTTGTGAACCTGTCCAGCCAGGAGGATGAGGTCAGCAGCAAGGGAGTGCCAGGCCTCAGTCCCCGAAGCTACCCAGGCCCCAGGCACTTCCCGAAGCTTCGGAGCCTACAGACCCGGGAGGGAAACTCTGCCTCCGGAGGCGGCCGTGAGATTTAAACCAAGCTGGGAATGCGCACATGGCAGGTTCCGGTGCCACTCCAGAAACAGATACTCTGGTACCTGCCACGACTTCAAAGGAAAAGGGAACAGTGAGGAAACCGAGGCCCCAAGGACCTGCTGCGACAGAGTGGCCGCTAGGGCAGGAGGCCCAGGTCCGCCACGGCCTCTGGCCTGAGCCCCTGGTGCACCCCCGCAGCCCAGAGCACACCGCAGCTCGTCCCCAGTGGCCCAGTTGCTGAGACCAGGGTGTCCGTCCCACTGTAAGGTGCCGAGACAAGAACTCAAGGATCAGGGTTTGGGGGTCATCTTCCCAAACCATCTGCCACATCAGGAAGAGAGGGACAGAGAACGCAGACCCTGGGACGCACAGCACACAAAGCCCCGCTGACGGCGAGAAAGCAGACACAGGCTCTGCACTCACCAGCCCGTGACCATTCCCAGGTCTCCCGCTAGACCCAGCCGCCTGCCCCCTCTCCAGAGGACCTCAGGGCATGAGGCCTTCCCAACCCTGGTGCCCGCTCCTCTGGATGAGGAAGGGCCAGGCCAGCTGGCTGGGGCGTGGCTAGGGGCCCAGGACACACGACACCAGGGTGGGGTCACTCTGCTCCCCAGGGTGGGGCAGGCAATGAGCTCACAGCATTGGACCGCATGAGGCAGGGACCCTTGGCGGGGCTCAGCGCAGGGATGACACCAGGGACAGGGACATGGCTAAGGCCACCCAGGTAGGGAAGTGCACGGTGGGTTCTTCTTTGCTCAAGGCACCATAGAGAGCCTCCTGGGCCCCTCCAACCCTCTGCTGTGGGGGGTCCCCCAGAGCTGGTGACAAGGTGGGATGGTGGCAAGAGGCCCAGGGAAGGGAGGAAGAGGGTGGCAGAGGGGTCGCTGGTGGCCTGTGGGGCTGTCCTGCCCTCTCTCCCCAAACCAGCCCTGTCCCTGGGCACTTTCCAGGGGCGCTGAGCTGGGAGAGGCTTCTTTGCAAAGATCAGGTCTCTCATCTGCTAGGCTGAGCCGGGCTGTGCAGGGAACACAGGGTGACAGATGGCTCAGGGCTGCCCCAGTTCCCATCAGGAGGCTCCTGCTGGGTCTGGTGAGTGCGCATTGCTTCTGTATCGTGTGTGTGTGTGTGTGTGTGTGTGTGTGTGTGTGTGTGTGAGAGAGAGAGAGAGAGAGAGAGGAGGGAGGGCTGAGGAGACAGTGAGACACTGAGCTCTTCTTGCTCTGTGACTGGATGATGGGGGTGAAGGTGCAGGTGAGAGGTGAGCAGGTTGTGCAGGTTGTCCCCTGTGACATTTACATAAATGCGCACAGCATTTGGAGGACATGCCCCATGGGAGGGTGGCAGGGACCAGAGAGCCTGGCACCAAACACACCCAGTGCCACACAGAGCACCCGGCTCGGAATCAGGTCACACCAGCAGGGGCAGCGCCAGCGAGGCGGAGAAAAGCACCTTTCACAGAGCGCTGGTGCAGCCTCCGAGGGTCCCGTGGGCTGGAGTAAGCAAGCACTGAAGGCACAGGCTGTCCGAGCGTGCTGTGCAGAAGAGCTGGCCTTTCTGGTTTCTCTTTAAAATCTAGTTCTAAAAATAGCTGAGGCCTCCGCATCACCACCACCCCATCCCCGCCCCGGTGCTCTGAATGAATGAGGGCTCCAAGGAGCCACAGGTGTGAGGAGGAGAGCGGAGGCGCCGGCTGACTGCATGGGGCCCCAGCCCCTCTAGGGATGCAGCCATCCGGGGACCCCACAGGCTGACCAAAGGCTTCCACATCAGCTTCCCGGCTCTAAGGCCTGTGCAGCTGGACCCAGGGCCCGCCCAGTTCTCAGAGCTGAGAGCAGGGGTGGCTGACCGGGGCCTTTCTTCCCTCCTGGGGTGGAGCCATCATTTCTGGGCTTTGCCCAGTCCCTCTAGCAGCTGAGGGGGTCCTGTCCTCATTGACCCTGACACCAGCCCTGGCCCAGCCTGGCAAGCAGGGATCAGAGAACCTTGGGGGCTGGAAGCAGAGAGGCTGTTAGGCTGTCCCGGAGTATCTGCCAGAGCGTCAGACCTGGGGGCATCACAGGCTGGCTCCTTCAGTGGCGATGGCTGGGGGCGAGAGGATACATAGCAATGTCCCAGGGGCTGGGGACCTCAGCCCTCCCTCACCAAGACTGCACACAGTGGAGCGCACCCACTGTGGAAATCTGGCCAGACCTGAACTTCTCTGCTTCTGGAGCCACTAGCAGCTTTGCTCTGGGTGGGAAGGATCCATATATTCAGGCACTTGGCCAAGGCAGACCACAGTGCCACCTCCCTTCTGCCCCTGTCCCCAAGGCCATGCCCAGAGCCAGCTGGTGCCAGCGCTCTGATAAAGCGTATAGGCTCTGGGGGCCAAGCGGTGCGTCCTGCTGGCACTGGGTCTGACCACAGCACCCTCTTCTCAAGGCCTTGCTCTGCTGGCAGGGGCAGAAGGAAGACGGCATGGGCTGGGGGTACACACACCAGTGACAGCCCAGGGTCGCCCAGGTGTCCCTGTCCAGTTCAGCCCTGCTAGAAACACATGGCTGCCTGCTCCACGTGCACACCCCTGCCTCTCTCCCCAGGAGTCCCAGCACAAGCTGGGATGGCAGCACACGCCAACAAGGGTGAGACCCAGAGCGTGGGGCTGGCTTCTCAGGCCCGCCTCCCCCTGTCGATCCCTGCTCTGTGTGGGGCTCCCCAGGGCAGGGCCGCTGGCCCCTGGGTGAGTGGAGGACCTGCTTCAGTCTGACGGGGAGATGTGGGGGGTGGCGCCTGGCAGCAGAGCCCTCACCCGGGGCAGGAGGCAGTGGGGCACTTCCTACCTTTTGTGGACCGGCTGTGCCTGTGACCTGCACACACCCTTGCAAACCCAGCATCAAATCATTAGCCCACAGATGTGTTCCCATGTCCCTACAAGAAGATTCCAGAGTTAGCAGGCAGGCAGTGGCCTTGGTGACTGGATCTGTCATGTTGCGGCACAGAAAATCTGTCTTCTATTCTTGATGAAGAAAACAAGAGTATTGGGGATTTGCCTCCTCCTGGAGGCTGACCTTGGTTGCTCCTCACTTTTTTCTCTACCTTGTACCACCCCTTCCTATCACCGTTCACAGCCGGCAGCTCCTTGTCTATCCTCTTCCAGGTCTGCCTCACACGATGATACTGTATGAGAGCTGGGGGAATGGGGGGTGCTACTTTTCTTTATGCAGTATGTTCCCTTCAGTTATGAAACAAGAAGGAATTTGGGGAGCCAGGGAAATGATGTAAAGGAGAAAATAAAAATCTCCCAAGTCACACCCTTCAGAAGCGTTGATAAGCCAGTGCTCAGATTTCTGTCTATCTTTCCAGACCTGTTTTTCTCATTGGGTAATTCTATATCTGGGGTAGACATTTGGCACAGTGGTTAGGACACCCCTGGGACACCAGCACCCCATATCAGAGTGTCTGGGTTCAAATTGCAGCTTCCTGAGAACACAGGCGACAGCTCAAGTACCTGGGTCCCTGCCACCCACAAGGGAGACCCAGATTTGAGTCCTTGGCTCCTGGCTTCAGCCTGACCCAGCTGTGGCCACTGCAGGTATTTGAGGAGCACCCAAGCAGGTGATCTCTCTGTCTCCCTACTCTCTCTTGCTGGCTTTCAAAATAAGTAAATAATGTATAATTTTGTATTCTGTTTTTAAATCCATTGAATGATGGCCCACCCTCAGTCTCCAAACACCTTGGAGCTCCTGAGCGTGAGGGCCCTTCCTGGGCTGCACACCAGCACCTCCCCACGAGGGGACACTGTCCGAGGGGACGGAGCACACCTCCCAGGCCCTGGCACCCGCTGGGCTGGGCGTAAGTGGAAGCTCTCACCCTTGGCCTCTGAGTCAGGAGGACTGCAGGCCCCTGGAGGCCCTGTTGGCCAATGCCTTTGTCGGCTCAGCTCCCTCGCTTGGGAGAAGGGGATGATGTCATGGCCCTCATTGACCCACGGGGCACTGGAAAATGACCGTCCAGTGGCCGTTGTGCAAAGATGCTAGAGACGAGAGCCGCTGTGCACTTAGGAGGTGACTGTTTCCTAGGGCAGGGACACTGCTGACCAGGGACGGTCTTAGGCTCCAGCCTGGTGGACACCAACCGTGACCTCGGGGAAACCGCTGCTGGGAGCACAGGGATAAACCCACTCCCTCCTCAGGGCTGCTGAGATCCAGCCCCCAGCCAGCAGCTGCCCGCTCAGAGCACAGTGTCTGGAAAGTTGAGACAAGGCCAGGGAAGGAGCAGGTTGCAAGGCTGGGGTGTGGTGGGGGGGAAGACCCCCTGGGCTGCCTCTGCCTTGCTGTGTGCTCTTGGCGGGGGAATATTCCTAACCTCGCTGTGCCTCAGCAACTCCACTGATGTGATAGGAAACACCCCTGTCCTCTCCTGGGGCTCACACAACAGGAAGGAGACTCCTGGATTCCAGGAGGGCACACAGGCTGGGGTGTGGGGGCGGGCATACAGAACAGGTGCAGCCCTACTCCCCCCTGGAGCTGGAAGGCAGCCACACACACAGAGTCTGGGCGGTGCAAGGGCTCTGCCCTGCCCAGGGTCGGGACAGGGGCTGCAGCATGGGGCTCAGCTTTGGACACAAGAGATCATTGGGCTGCAGGGCTGATGCCTGACCCACGGCGACTGCCCAGGGGCACCAGGAGCCATGCCGTATGGGGTGGAGGCAGGGGAGTAGACACATTGGACTGGGATTCTGAAAACGCACTCTATGCATCAAACCCTGCTTGCAGCACTAAAGTGGGATGAAGACAAAGGAAGGTTAGAGAAGAAGATGGGGCAGGGCTGGCACCAGCCCCGCCCACCACCACCTTCTCAAGGGGCCTTAGGCACAACAAGCTAATGAGGGTCTGCCATGGGGCGACCCCGTGCTATGGTCATCCCACTCACACTTTCCTCCAATCTGCCACCCGACACCAGGAGCCAGGAGTTGTGACCGCTGAGGATCCAAGAGGCTGAGTGACTTGCCTGGGTCACACAGCCTGCAGTGAAGGAGTTGGAGGCCAGGAGCCACAGAGACCCTTCCAGCTCCCAAGGGCTCTGATCAGGCAAACCCTGCCTGGGCCAGGACGCCAGGATCCCTCCCAACCTCACCCTGGCACCAGCACAGCAGATCCGGTCAACACTGCCCCCCGCGCACACACCCAGTTCCGCCACTTGGCCCCATCTCTGTCTGAGCCATGGACAGCCATGTCAGCTGTCTGCCCACTGTCCACTCACCACCCGGCAGCCAGAGTGAAACAAAAACTGGATCACAGCACTTCCCACACAGAATTCCCCAGAGATGTCAACAGCCTTGAGAAAAAGTCCCGAGCTCCTGCCCCGTGGCCATAAAGGACCCATGGGATCTTCCCCAGCACCCGCGCGGCCGCACCCGCGCGGCCTCACCTCCACCCTCCCACCCTCTCCCAGGAGCTCTGCTGCAGCCTGGGGGCCTTGCACGTCAGGTGCGCCGGCTCAGTGCGCGTCTCCTCCAGCAGCCAGGGCTCTGGCCAGGCGTCCCTGCCCTCTCATTGCAGCCCCGCCAGCTCACAGGCCGTGCCACAGGGGTGCTCAAGACTCAATCCCCAGGCCCACCTGGTTCCGGAAGATCAAGGCCATCACGCCGCCAATGAGCTCCATGATGAGGCAGATCCCGAGGATGTACATAAACTGGAAGACAAGATCCGAAGACTTGCCTGGAGGGGCTGCTGTGAGATCCCGTGCAGCCAGGAAGCTGCCTGGGGCAGCTCGTGCCGGCTCCTGGACTGGGTGCCCCAGCTGGCGTGGGAACACAGGAGGCACTCAGGCCCTGGAGCAGCCAATCCCGGAGCCAGGCCCGGGACAATGCGTCAGTGCCACAGCCAGCCAGATCTCCACGTTGTCCCCAGGGCCCTCAGCGGGGCAAGGTGGCACATCACGCCTCCCAGTCACCGTGGAGGAGACCTGGGCCTCACTCCAGGGAGCAGAGGGGACAGGTATGGTCCAGTGGGTGGGCTGGGGCAGTGTTTCCAGCTCTCCCCGACAGCCCCTCTAAGTGGCTTCCCAGATCCCCCAGAGTAGGTGATGGGGGCCTGAAGCTTAGAGGATGCACACCCACCTCTGCCCTCTGTCAGAGAACAGGCATGGTTCAAACGGATTCCAGAAACTTCCAGCCTCAGCCACGACCTGCCTCATCGGGGCTTCCAGGTGCTCCCAGGTGAAGGGAGACAAGGAGATGAGGGCACCCACGTGTACAGAGCGAAGATGCCTGCCTGCCTGGTGGCCCAGCTCCGAGGACCCTCCCTCAGCCACAGCCAGGGGTCGTCTCCACTCCCTGACCCCAGGATGGCCACCAGCATCCAGGGGCCTTGCTGGAGTTACCAGGACGGACTCCCTAGGACCAAGAGCTGTGAAGACTCAGTGTGTGTCTGCCGGCAACAACCCCATAGGAAGCTGGGGACAACGCTGAGCAGAGCAGTCCCAGGTGGGCGGTGAGAGAGAATGCCCAGCCCCGCCCATGGGCACCATGCAGCCCCTGTCCAAGGTGGGACGGTGGGACACATGAGCCAATGCCCCTCTTGGGGCTCCGCTTGCTGGCATTTGAATGCTGTTTCTCTTCCTTGCAGCGAGGCCCAGAGAAACAGAGTCCAAGTCAGGATGGGGTCAAATCGGCCTGTACATGCAAGGCTGTGGCCTGGGCACTCCTGGGCATGTGTGGGCAGGAGCTGGTGCGAGAGAGGCAAGGACCGCCAGCCCCGCGCTGCCCAGCGGCCCAGGGACAGGCTCCCCGGCTCCCCGGGCCTCCAGCGCAGGGTTGGGGGTGGGGGCGGCTGACTCACCGCCTGGAGGAGGCACAGGTTGTCCCGCAGGGAGGCCAGCACACCGATGAAGGAGACGATGAACATGATGACCCCCAGCAGGAGGAGGAGGATGGCAGGAGCCAGGAAGGCACTTTCCAGGGTCTTGTATTTCTGCCGCTCGACCTCCGCGTAGATCCCCACGGACAGGACCAGGCCCCCGATGAGCTGCAGCAAGGAAGCCAGGAGTGAGGGGAGAGAAGGAGTCGGTCACCTGACCTCCCTGCAAAGAGCTCCCTGGGCGCCGTGTACCTGTGGCCAGGTGACCGCGTAGCACGCCCCCAGCTTCCGGGTGCAGTCCTGGCCCCCAACACCTCAGTAGAGATTTTAAAGGGGCGAGGGAGGTAAAATGTGGCCATTGGGTGTCCTTGTAAGAACACAACACAGACACCCCCCAGGGGAGGACACGCAAAGGCGTCCAGAGAACAGGGCCCTACGCAAGCCAAGGAGAGAAGCCTGGAACTGACCTTGGCCCCCAGACCCTGGACTCCCGACCTCCAGGGCTGTGAGAAGGGTCTGTTGTTCGCGCCACTTGGTTTGTGGGACTTCATGTTGTGGCAGCCCTGGTACACGAGCACAGACCCAACCTAGCGATGCCACGGCAGACGAGAGAATACAGCACTGGCTGGAGGGCCAATCACAGTTCGCGTCTTGGTTCTCCAGCCTGCTGGCCTGGGCCTTGGACGGGCATCGGGCCAAATGAACCTGAGTGCCCATTGGGAAGGTGGATGCGAAGACACTCATTCCTGTCCTGCTCACTCCTCAGCTTTTTGCAAGGCTTTGGCAAAAGCCCAAAGTGGGAAACACGATGAACTTGAATGCACAGGGCCACGGCAATGCAAGATGAGCAGGCCTGGCGCCCGAAGGGAAGCCTAGAGCTGCCGGGGGCAGGGAGCACCTCAGTCGGTGTCGTCTACGAGGAATCCACGTTCTGGCTGCCCGCTGGGAAGGCCAAAGGCTGGAGCAGGAGGAATTTTGAGGGGGTTTTTAAGCAGAATCCCTCATCACCCATCATCAGCTTTTGTAACAGTGGGAACACTATAGGCACTGCTAACGGAACACATTGTGAGTTCCCATCAGCAATCCCGGGCTGCTTCCTGCTCATCACACAAGCCAGGGCCTTTTGCACAGGCTGTGCCCACCTCGACAGCCCTTCCTCCCGACTTCCACACGGCTCGCTCCCCTCCTCCTTCCTGCTCCCTGTGGGCACTGAGGGTACCTCATTTACCAGAGGGAAGTTCCGACCCCCTGGCCCTGTTCTCTTTCCTGCCTTTGCCTCTGACCAGCTTAACATGCTCTGTTACCAACTGTTTTCATTGTCTTCCACACCAGAACATAAGCTCCAGGCCGGGGGCCGGGGGGCGGGGGGATTTTCCCACGGCTGTGGGCATCCCCTGGCCTGACACTGAGGAAGTACAGTCAAGCTTTGTAGGCAGCATCCACCGAGTGATTGGGAGCTGGGCTTTCCTGCGGAGCCCCTGGGTTTGAGTCAGACCCCGTCTACCCAGCCTCCGGGGCCCAAGGATCCAAGGATCCTTTCTGGGCCATGTGCTCCGGAAGGCAGGAAACAAACAACTGGACTTCTCCACCGAGCTACCCTGGCAGAGAAGCCGGACGCTGTGGCGCTGTCAGCCAAGGTCCCGGTGAAGGAAGTGAGGGATATGGCAGGCGGGGCGCTGGAGGGTTCCGCTGGGCACAGCCACCTGCCCCAGCGTGAGCACCCGAGCACAGCAGTGCACAGCGGAAGCTGCCCCTCCAGCCACCCACAGGCCTGCCTCAGCCCTCAGTGGACTGCACCAGGCCTCCTCGCTGACTGTCACATCAGCCCCCACTGTGGGCCCGGGACTGCCTCCTCAAGTGCACTGAGGCTACTGCGTCATGGGGAGTGCCCATGGCGAGTGGCAGCCACGCCCAAGTCCCGCTCAGGTGGGCGGCGTCACCAGGACACCCAGGACATCCTGCGTCCAGCGCCTGCTGCCTTCCAAGGCTGAGCACCAGTCCTCTGGGTTTGAGAAGCTCCCTGAGACCCAAGCCCTCAAGTCGAGAAGGGAGGGCTGAAGGCACGGACAATCGCGCCCGCCCGCCACTTACTCACTCGTTGGCCACAGCAGGGAAATGGGGAGTGTAGTGACGTCATCAAAACTACCCACTTGGGTAAACGTTAAATTCTAGAACACAGGAACACACATGTGTACACACATATATACATACACCCAGATATACACACACACGTGTACACACATACCCAGATACACACACATATACACACATGTGTACACACACACACAGAGAAACAGTGGCCACAGGAAACAATACAGCTTTGATAGAGAAAGATGAACCAGAAACTACCATGCCCAGTCCTGCTTCAAGGCCCAGAATGGGATAAAATCATCCTTCAAGGCTGGTCTCAGCCCCCAACACACTGAGAGCAACAGTGAGGAGACCTTTTTTTTTTTTTTTTTTTCCAAGATTTGTTTATTTATTTGAAAGTCAGAGAGAGAAGGAGAGACAGAGAGAGGTCTTCCATCCACCGATTCACTCCCCAAGTGGCTGCAATGGCCAGGGCTGAGTCAGCCTGAGCCAAGAGTTAGGAGCTTCATCCGGGTCTCCTACTTGGGTGGCAGGGGCCCAAGCATTTGGGCCATACTCCACTGCTTTTCCCAAGCCATTAGCAGGGAGATGGATTGAAAGTGGTGCAGCCAGGACACAAACTGGTGCCCATATGAGCAGTGCCCAACCAGCTACACCACAGTGCTGGCCCCAAGGAGCCTTTTAAAAGCCAAGTCCTCCCACCTTTACAATTACTGCACCTGTAAGGACCCACTCATTGGCCCACGACCCTGAAGCCAGGGCCCAGAGCACTTCCTACCCCAAAGCTGTTAGCAGATCAGAGCCCAGGCGCAGGGTCCATAAAATACTTGGAGACATAGCCAGGGGCAGGAGAGATGGGTTTTATCTTCCTCCCTGAAGAAGAGGCATTTTTTTTGTTGTTTTTTGTTTGTTTGTTTGTTTGTTTTTTTACAGGCAGAGTGGACAGTGAGAGAGAGACAGAGAGAAAGGTCTTCCTTTGCTGTTGGTTCACCCTCCAATGGCCGCTGTGGCTGGTGCGCTGCGGCCGGCGCACTGCGCTGATCCGATGGCAGGAGCCAGGTACTTATCCTGGTCTCCCATGGGGTACAGGGCCCAAGCACCTGGGCCATCCTCCACTGCACTCCCGGGCCACAGCAGAGAGCTGGCCTGGAAGAGGGGCAACCGGGACAGAATCCGGCGCCCCGACTGGGACTAGAACCCGGTGTGCCGGCGCCGCAAGGCGGAGGATTAGCCTAGTGAGCCACGGTGCCGGCCCAAAGAGGCAAATTTTCACCTCCTCACTGAAACAATTACTGCATCTTAGTATTTGCAGAATTGAATTCATACACTTGTGAGGGTTCTGTTTCCTGTTGCTAGAAACAAAATAAAAATAGTTCCTCTCCGGCAGGAAGGGCCAGGGGCTGCCCTCTTGGCACAGTGGCCCTGCTGCAGCCTGCCCCAGTCCCTCCTTCCTGCCCACGGCTGGCCTGGGGCTGCAGTGCTCTGCTTTGGAACCACCCCTGTCACCAGACCGTCCCTGACCCCAGGCCCCTCCGTAAAGGCCATCAGTGGCTTCTCTGATTTTCACAGGCTTCCCAGGCCCCGGGAACACGCCAGCCCAGCCTTGCTGGCAGAAAACAAAACTTCCCTTGCTCTGATCTCACTCCCCCGTTAGAAAGCTTTCCCATTAGCCTTGTGACATTTCCAGACCACGAAAGCCATGGGAAAAGCTCCCATGACAGCACCAGCCAGGGCCTCCCCACACCGCTGCAGGTCCTGGTTCTCTTGGCGGGGGGGTCCTCATCCAAGTGCCCCCAGGGGCAGGGGCATGGGGCAGAGGCCAGCAGAGAGCTCCCCAGGAAGTTCATAATTTCCAAATGGCACTTCCATCTCCAATGACGTCAGCTTATCCATCTGGGTATAAAATGATCTGTCAATGCCAGGCTGCCATCCCATCCACTCCTGCTAATTATAGCCCTTCCTTCACCACCCGCCCAGGCCCATTTGTCAAACAGGACAGCTGCAGCCCCCAGCTGGGGCTAGGGGCATGGGGCCACGCCCATAGGAGGCAAGAGGGGAAAGGCCCACGGCTGGTGGGTGGGAGCCCACAGGCCAGGCCCACCAGGCCCCGGGACGTGAGCTCTGCAGGCAGCAGAGGAGCCCGTCGCCCGGCGTGGACTGAGCTCTTCGGCCTGGCACGCAGCTTCCTCCCATACTTCTGCTAGGAGACAAGAGGCATTGGCAGCGCCTATCCCTGCCAAGTTCACCCTCAGCTGGGGCCAGGCAACACTTAAATAAGGGAAGCTCTCAGGTCTGTTTCAAGGGGACCTGCAAGATGCATTTTCACTCCAAAAGGCACAGGTCAGGCCCTGTATCAGGCTCCATAGGGTTACAGCGGGGGCAAGACTGCGAGAGGGGAGAGGAAGAGAGGCCAGACATGACAGTCCTACCTATGGGTGGAATTCAGGGAGTCTGACCCGGGGATGGAGAAAGTGACAGCTTCACTTCCATCAGTCTCTCACTGAACTGTCCCCTGTGTCTTTTTTTTTCTAAATATTTATTTATTTTACTTGAAAGTCAGAGTTACACATAGAGAGGAGAGGGAGGGGGAGGGGGATGGGGAGGGAGGGAGAGAGAGAGAGAGGGAGAGAGAGGGGGAGAGGGAGAGGGAGAAGGGGGGGGAGGGAGAGAGAGAGAGAGAGAGAGAGAGAGAGAGAGAGATCGATCTTCCATCTGCTGGTTCACTACCCAGTTGGCCATAATGGCCGGAGCTGCGCTGATCCAAAGCCAGGAGCCAGGAACTTCTCAGGTCTCCCACACAGGCACAGGGGCCATCTTCTACTGCTTTCCCAAGCCACGAAGAGAGCTGGATCAGAAGTGGAGCAGCCAGGACTTGGACTGGTGCCCATATAGGATGCCGGCACTGCAGGTGGCAGCTTTACCCCTATAGCACAGTGCCGGCCCCTGCCCCTTGTGTCTTGAGCATAGGCCTGAAACCATGGTGGTGTCCCCAGCAGCCAGGATGCTGTCACCAATAGAAACGACATCAGCGTTGGTCTCTTCCGCACACTCAGGATCACTGCAGCATCTGATTCATG